AGACACAAGAGAAATTATGTTCACCTATCTAGGCAATCCAATGACTTTCTAAAAATCATGATTTTAAGCCAAAATGCTTTGATTCATACACCTTTGAGCCCTAATATGGTTTTCATTTATTTAAGTTATTTAAAGAATTTATACAGCCTCCAGACTCAAATGCTGTGACTCCGGTTGGTGCACAATAAAACAAAAAAGAGAAAACAAACTAATCCCAGTTAAAATCCAGAGGAAAAAGCCAAGTTTTTAAATGTCTTTCTGAAAGCCAATAGGGTCAACTGTATGCCAGGGGTGGGATCATTCCAGACAGCAATCCCATCAGATGGCATTGTTTCAAAGAAGGGACCCAAAGCATGCCAACTGTATTAGTGTGTGTAGGATGGAAAGATATAGTGCAGAGAGGCAGTCCCATAAACAACCTGGCACTGTGCCATGTAGGGCTTCATAGGTAATAACCAGCCCCTTGAATTGCACCCAGACGACTGAACTGTAGGGAGCTGATGCACCTTGCAAAGTAGTGATGTTACATGGGTGTATGAGGTGCATCCATTACTACCCCCACCACTCCATTCTGGACTGTTGGAGTTTTGGGGCACCCTTAAAGGGCAGCCCCACATAGACCCCATTGCAGTAGTCCAGTCAGGAGCAGGGCCTCCCAATCCAGGAATGGAAGCAACTGATGCACAAAGTTGTACAATGACACTCCTGGTCACAGCTGTCACCTGCTCTTTGAGCAGGAACTGTGAGTCTAGGAGGATGACCAAACTGTACATTATTTCTGAGCAGGGGAATACTACCCTGAGCAGAACCAAGAATGGACAACTCAGCCTTGGTAAGGTTGACTCAAAACTTCTTCTTCCCCAACCAAACCCCTATAATCTCCAGACACTAGGCCAGAACTTTGACAGTCTCACCTGTTCGGCTGGGGCAGAGATATACAACTAAACATTATCAGTGTACTGATAATACTGTGCATCATGTTGATGAATGACCTTCCCCAGCAGTTTCATGTACATGTTTAAAAGTGGGGAGAGGGTACCATCCTGATGCACCCTGCAAAGGAGAGGTCTAGGGCTGGACCACTCCCTCCCCCAACACCAACCAGAACTGGCCCTGGAGGAAAACCATCACAACACGGGGCCTTCCAACTCCCTGAGCTGATCCAAAAGGATATTATGGTTAAAGGTATTGAAGAACATTGAACTCCAGGACAGATACATTAAAGTCATTGACTTGTGTGGTTAACACAATGTATAAGGCAAACTCAAGAGTAAACAATCTGTACTTCCAAATTATTTAGGGGATTCTAAATTAGAGAATTTAGTCCCCATAAGCTCTAGGCAGTACAACCAAGACATAGGATTGTAGAAATTATAGCCAAACAGTTTGACTAGAAGGCACTTGAGGGATAGGTAACTCAATCTGCCTTCTTCACTATCCTCCCAGCAAAGCCCTCATGTCTTGTCAACATTAGTGAAAAACTGTATTAGGCTGGAAATTAGTCATATCCTCATCGCAACTGCCATCCAATTTCCAGGAGAAGCAACTCTTCAGAAAAAATATGTCCAATGTACTACAATTCAGAGGTTCCTCAGAATTTATTACAAGAATTTTCATCCAAAGAAACCCAAGGGGTTGAGGAAGTCACCCTTAGCATGTCATGTTAGAACAAGGGTGAAGACATTCAAGCAACATTCCTGCATGATCCCAGTTTGATGCCAATTGCCCTACTTAGTCACTTTCACCAGGAAATTAGTTCTACACACCAAATGGCTGGTATAATTTGAGATTGGCACTAGCCATGCATCCCATCGCTTCAAGAAATTCCCATGGATTTACATGCATACAGACTTTCAAGTTATCGATAATCAACCTTCCCCAAACCTGGCACCCTCAAGAAGCTGTGGTCTCATATCTGGAGGGTATCATGTTGGGGAAGACTATATTATGAGAAACCTTGCTGAAACCAGCTTTCTGATAATCCCTTCTGCTGGCTGTATCTCAGCTGTACAAAGCAGGCTAAGCTGGTTATCCTCTATCGATCTGTTTGCTGCTACAGCCCCTTGCTGGAACCAAAAAGATGACTCAACATTTACATGACTGAAAGAATGCAGCAAGTCCTTAAGATCTTGCACAGCCATCACGAGGGGCTAGTTGATTAAAGAGACTACTATACCACTGTCTTCAAGTTTCCTCAAAAATAACTAATAAAACTGTACCACCACATTTCACATCTGCATTGTATTCCTTGATCCTACATTACTCCCAAATTCAGTAGTCTGATTAAGACCTTTTTAACCAGAG